GAATCCTGTGTCCTAGTCACCAGAACAGGCAGCAGGGGCTAACCCTGAGGCACAGGTCAGCCCTATGCACCCTACGTTCAATGAGAATGAGTACCCTGGACTACCTGTCCTGGACCCACCTGTTCTGTTTTGAACTCATCTGTCTTGGTCTCATTTGTCCTGAATCCACAGGTGGCTGTGGAACCAGTTTCTGCTGTGGCACCAGTTTCTGCTGTGGCAATGGCAGCTTCTCCAGCTCTAAGGTGTCCCAGGGACCACTCAGCAGTATGACTGAGGTAGCTTCCTTGGAGGGAGTTATATCTGCCTATTGATCACATTCTGTGAGATTCTGGCCCTTTGAACCACCATTATTAGGAGCAATGTGCGTGCTAGGGAACAGAGGGCACCCTTGGACTTTCCTCTCCTTGGTAGTGCCCACCTTCTAGGCACTGTTGTGCAGACAGGTCTGGGCAGCTGTGTCCTTCAGGACCTTCATGATGCACCTATATTGCTATCAGCCCTTACACTTTCTCCTTCCCTCACAGGGAGGATGTGGGGCAGATTTTGGTTGATGAAGCCCTGAGGCATGGCACATCCTAAGCACACAGCCCCATCCCCTGGGTGGCTGTCCTTATCTCCAGGACCTATCCTTTTGGCCTAAGCTTTGGGACTTAGCCTGAGCCAGTCTGAAATTCTAGCCAGGGCCCCTCCCTGCCCTGGGGATGGATCAGAAAAGGCAACTGCCTGGGAGGACATTCCAGCTCTGTGCAGAGTCTGGGTGCATCTTGGGTTAAGGGGCATGTGTGTGTCCTACACCCTGCCCCTGCCCCTGCCCCTGTTCTGAGTCTGACTCTCCCCCTTTGCTTCTTTCCTACCCTCTTCTTAGCTCCCCCAACTCAATCTGGGGCCCATCTCTATCTACTGAACATCTAAAATAAACTTTCCTTAGCCTTGTAAACACTCAGGAAACTTTAACCTCAATTCTGGAACATTTCTGTTGGAGCTGGCTAATCCAGCCTTGCCTCTGACCACAGCAAGTCCAGGGGAAGAGTGGCTGCAGGCGGTTTGCTGACTGCATTCCCCATGGAGGAGGAATTGGCTTCACTGGAGTAAGGAGGCTACCACTTTCTGGGCACCACAGCACCACTGGTAGAAGAAATGGCCCAGACTTTCAGTTTCTCCATCACCTGGAGCACAGATGGACAGAAAAGCATGACCCTAGCAGGTGCTGGGGATGGATGGCCCCCAGGACATGGGGTCCTACCAGAAAGGACACCTTGCTGTGTCTGCTGGAGTGAAGAAAGGGAAGTCTCTCAGGTGAGGTACATGAGAAGCCCACAGGGTGCAGTCTCCCTGCTTTCCCCACCCTCCCTGCATTTTACTGTGCGTGTAGCAATTTCAACTGTCTTCATGGTAATTCTTCAGATTCTTGCTGTTGCAAATGAACCTTTTCAGGGCTGCAGAAAGTTTGTGAAGTGGGAGTTAGCTGGTTCCTACTACTACTGGGAGATTAGCTGGTTCCAGTCTACTAGAACCTGCTTGAGGTGGCCCTGAGAATTGCAAACGTGGCTAAGTTCTTGGGGCAGGGGATTGGGCAGACCCTCCCTATCCTGCATTCAGAGTGGGACCGGCAGAGGGCTGGCAGGACACCTAGGGTGGATTTAGGCACAGCTGGACGCAGTGCAGAAAAATCCTGCTCATTTCCCAGTGGGCCTCCTCTTCCTGCCCTTGGCCCCAAAGGAGCTGGGCAAAAGCAGGAAGGCTCCTGCCACTCTCTACCCTAGAGGCCCGCAGGGCAGGGGGAGACCTGGCTGCTGCAGGGTGCACCCGTGGGATGTGGGGCCCAAGGTGGGCCTCGGTTCTGCAAACAGGGCTTGGTTGGGGGGGAGTTGCAGTAGGCTGAGGCGCCAAGGCATGAGGACGTGGACCCGCGTCCTCCACAGGCCGTTGGTCACCTGTCCGCTAGCTGCGCCTTGGGGAACCCTTCCACAACGTTCATCGACCAGAAGAAAGTACACCCCGTTCCCGCTGCTGGCCACGGCAGGCCCCAGGGCACGTGCGGGAGGGGCCCTTGCGGTGGGCTCTTCCCGCGTCGCCCTCCCGGTGCCGGTCCGCCCGCCGGCCGGGGCTCCGCTCGCACGCAATCCGCCGCCATCGCGTGACGCCCTGGTGACCGCAAGAGGAAGCGGGTGGCGCCGGGGGCACGCGATGGGGACCCGGGGGTGGGGCGGTGACGTCACAGCCCCTCTTCCCCGCCGCGGGAAGTTGGACCCAGGCTGGGCGTGGGCCAAGCGCAGGGGGTTTGGGTTTGTGCACAGGTGGCCCAGAAACCGCGAGGTGGAGCGCTGTCCCCCAGCAGCCGTCATGGCACCTCAGCCACCCTGAGCCCAGATCTGCCGGCGTCACGGGAAGGCCCTGATAAATCTGAGTCCATGCTGGTGGTGTGGTCCCTCGCCGGACCCCTGGGTGAGCTGGACACCCACCTGCCCTGGCTGGCCCCTGTGGGACCCAGCCAGGCCCAGGTCCACCTGTCCTGCTTTCGTTTGGGTCCCTCCCACCTGCGGGGAACAGAAGCTCAATTAGCCTTTAACGCTGCAGTGACCAAGGGCAGCAACGCCTCTTCCCTGCTTCTCCTAGTAGTCTCCACCTGGGAAGAAAGAGTTTACCCTCCCTTGTACGCAGAGCTGACAGCCCTCCGAATACCAGTGTGGAGCAAGCAGAGTGTACCCCCTGGGGATTAAAATGAAAGTGGGCCCCTCTGAGGCCTCTTTGGGACACATCTCCAAGCTCAATGTGTTGTGGAGGCTGTGGGAGAGTGGCTGGGCAGGACTCAGGGAGCCTGGCTCTACTACAACGGGGACCCTCAGGGGTATATGCGTGTTTCCCAGGGATGGACCTGCATTCTGGCAGAGAAAGCCGGTCTCTTCTGCACTTAGTGTGGTGGACAGAACTCCAGTCACATTAGCTGTGGAAGACCAGGGTGATGGTGTGATGGCTTTTGAGAGAGGGAGAGACAGAGACACTGGGGACCAAAGGCCACAACATAGCCATGGTGCAGTCTTTTGGGCCTCCCTGTGGAGGGTGGCCTCCCGCATCAGGCCCTTTGTCCCTGTCAACTCCTGCAGGTGGCATCAGAGGATCTGAATGCTTAGTCCCAGCATGGCTTCCTGGGTCCATGGAGACTGCAGTCCAGCACAGACACCAGCTTTCAGTGAGGGTGAAGGGTCTCCATCCACAGCGGTCTAGACCTACCTTGAAGACAGGCCCAGGTCTGATGGGAAGGTGTTAAGCAGTGTCTGGACCCCAGAGTGACAGAGTGAGCTAGGAGCCTGCATTCCTAATCTCCAGGGATGCCTGGGCACAGTGGTGTGCTGAAGCCCCAAGGAAAGCAGAGGAGTGAACAGGAATCTGGGAGGAGTCACTCAGAGCTGGGAGACTGGGAGAGCTGGGAGACAGCGAGGTTCAGACTGTAGACATTCCAGAATGATCTCCAAGTGATACCACCTCTTCTTCTGCACATTAAGGGATGTCCACCTCAGCCTATGTGACACATAAATTATAAAACTCATTCAAGTACTGCTTTTATTTGTTAATAATATGCTCAGCCCAGGAGCCTCATCCTTCCCAGAATACAGTGGGCTATGAATGGATCTTGATGACACATAGGATGCTGTAGCCCTTGAGGATGATTTTCTACCTGGGCCTGGTTCTCCCAGAGAGTGGGGTGGAGTCTGTATGCAGCAGATCTCTGGAATCTGGTTCAGTGAAAGAATGAGGGGTTTCTGGGATGCTGGTTTGGAAGCAGAGCCTTGTGATGTCCCTAGACATTGAGGGTCAGACTAGGTGGATGGGGCAAGTCTGATGAAATCAAGCTACCTGAGTAGACAGTCCTTACCAGGGCCAACTGCCTATGAATAGAAAGTTCACAGCTTGCTGGTTTTGAAAAAACAATGCTGATGATTCAAGCACCACATGTAATAATACTAGTGTATGTTCCATCTCAAAGTCACAAGTTGCAAGGGTCACATCTGCCTGGATGGAAGGGACCCATTGAAGTGAACTTGCAAATAATGTCACCTGTAGGTTTCCTCTGTGCGTCAGAAATGAGGGAGCTGATTCTCTGGCCCGGCCTTCCTCCAAGGCAAAGCCAAGAGTGGCCATCTGTGGGCCACCCTCTGAACATGTTGGGCCAGCTCCTTGCTGGGACCTTCTTATCTATCTATCCTCTTGGAAGCCAGGGAGTGAGGGCCCTCTATAACTCCCATGTGCCCATGAGGATGCTAAATGCAGAGTTAGATGTCCAAGTAGGGTCCTGAGGTCAGCACTCAGCCAGATGAGATGTGAGTGATGTCTGTCCGTTTGTCTGAACCCTGAGCTCTTTACCCCAGTCTGGGGGTGTGGGAATGAGGGAGGCACTAGAAAACTGCCTGAGGTGGGCATCCCTGAGGTCCTTCCTTTTCTGCCAGGTAAGGGATCTGTGCAGTCCTTTGAGACCCCTGTGTTTGGCCTCCAGTGGGGGTGAGCCCAGGGGACCATGGCCGAGCCTAAGAGGAGACAATAGATAGACTAGTTTTCAAAGGGTGATCAATAGTACCAAGTTGGGATCTACTAGTGTTTGGGTCTCAGAAGGAACTGCAGGAATCCTGGGGCCTGCAGGAAGGTGGACTTTGTCTCAAGACAAGACTGCCCCAAGCTGGGTGGGGTTGGGAGGCCAACAGCATATTCTGAGGAGTGGAGTGGGGCAAGGTGGCCCTTGGGTTAGGTCTGCCTCCACATTCTGGTCACTCCACACACACACTAGCCTGCAGTCTGACCTGGCTCCTCCTGCTCTTCCCCCATGGAACCACATGGCTGCCTAGAGCTGTATGGAGACCCTGTGTGTCCTGCACAGGACAGTAGTCCAGGCTGGACATTGGCAAGAACCATGTGGTGGACATTGGGAAACATAAGAATGTGACTTGGGTACTACCAGCAGGCCTGGAGCTGTGGAAGGGGCTCACCTATGTGTTCTTTTCTGACAGCCTTGCAGGAGATGCGTGTGCAGCCAGCGGGGGCCCTCTCACCTGGAGACAGCCCACCTGGAGAGTCCCTCGTGCAGGAGGGACGGCTCCTGCTAGAGGTGAGTGCCCTCCGCACCATGGTCCTATGAAGTGGTACGCATGTGTGGCTGTCACCTTGGAGGCCCTTCAGTAGAAATCATAAGGCTCCAAAATGCACTCAGGAATAGCGATGGAGAATGTGCCCAAATGGCTTCAGCCGAGGCCAGCAGTTGGTGGTCAGCTCCCCAGAGGTGAGTCCCCCCAGGTTGGAGCAGATAGCTGCCCATGACCTGCGGGCCTGAATGTTAAGTCTGAGAATCATTCCTCATTCTGCATTCTCTGTGTACTCATCAATGAGAGAACCTAGTGAAATATTAAGCCATTGATTTTGCAAATTAAAGATGCAGAAAATTCAGAATTGAGCTCCTGTGACTTTGACCCAGACTGGCAGCCAAGCTAGGTGGGGTAGTACTGACATCTCAAATTAGGAGTGTGGCTTGTTGGGAAGCTCCATTATGGGATGCTTTTCCCACCTGAAATGAACATGGAGATTTTGGGGTGCTGGGCTGTCCTTGAGCTGGTCACTCTGGGCCTGTGGCACCTCAGGAGAGAGTCAAGACAAGAACAGTCTCTGGGGGCTGAGGTCTGGTACAGGGGACTAGAATTCAATAGGAGTCTGACCTGGGACAGATTGATGGGGCAGCTTTAGGGTTTAGTGGGCAGTGTCTCTTTGTCCCCCACACTCACTCAGCCAGGCCCAGGCTTGACCCTCTGCTGGCATGCAGGTATAGGAGCTGGCCAGTGGGCCTTTGCTTTCCTGACTCAGTGGTTGGGGAGGGGATTGGCTTTCTGATCCTTAGTCATCAAGCAGTCCCTGAGGTACCATCCTTGTCCTCAAGTCACCCTAAGAGCAAGAATAATCTTTGTACCCCACGGAAGGCTGGCACTGCTCAGGGTGAGGCCACACAGTCTCACTTCCTTCACTTTTGACTTCTTATTGGAAAATTTCACATACATGCACAGGAGAGAGGCAAGAATCAGGGATGGCCAGGCACAGATGCCAGCCTCAGCAGTGGTCGGCTTGGGCCAGCTTGCCTTCCCCTGCTCCCAGGCCCCTGAGTTCTGTCTCTACTTAAGTCCCCATTGCTGCTGTGACTCTTCCAGCCTTGATCTCTCACTCTGTACCTTCAGTTGGTTCATGTGAAGGGCAGTTGGAGCCCTGAGCTCTGTGTCCACCTGGCCTTGAGCAACTAACTTCATGACACTTCTAGTTTCTCCATTTTCCCCAGTATCCATAAAGGGCAGTGCCTCTGGGGACTTGGGCTCAGAAACTTCTTCAAGGTCCCCAGACTCTGCCTGAGGGGTTTGGGCTCTGATGAGAGTCAATGAACTTATAAATCACATCCTTTAAAAAAAAATCCTGAGGTGGCCAAGCATGGTGGCTCACACCTGTAATCCTAGCTACTTGGGAGGCAGAGATCAGGAGGATCATGATTCAAGGCCAGACAAAAAGTTAGTGAGACCCCAATCTCAATCAATAAAAGCTGGGCATGGTGGCATGTGTCTGTCATCCTAGCTATGCTGGAAGCATAAATAAGAGGGTCATGATCCAGGCCAGCCTCAAGCATAAATGTGAGACCCTATTCAAAAAATAACTAAAGCAGCTGGCACCAGTGGCTCACACCTGTAATCCTAGCTACTTGGGAGGCTGAGATCAGGAGGCTTATAGTTCAAGGCCAGCTGGGGCAAATGGTTCAGAGACCCGCATCTCCAAAATAACCAGATCAAACTGGGCTGGAGATGTGGCTCAAGCAGCAGATTACCTGCTTTGCATAGGGCTTGAGTTCAAACCCCAGTCCCTCCCCCAACCAAAAAAAATCTAAAGTAAAAATAGGGCTGGGGGCATGGCTTAAGTGGTAGAGTGTAGAGTGCCTGTCTAACAATTGCAAGATCCTGAGTTCAAACCCTGATAACACACATACACACACACACACAAAACCCTGAGGAATTAAATTCTCATAATTTCCTGAGTTCATCTTTGGTTTCAGGGGTATCTGGGGGACCACAAGTCATGCTTGCCCAGCACACCCAAGGTCCAGTCCTGTCTCATTGTAGTTCAGTCTGGAAGCCAGCCATGTTGACAGTTCCTTTGGGGAACATTGTCCCTCAATAGAGGAATAGGTCCAGCTTCATCACTTACCACCATAGGATGAAAAGCAAATTCTTAAGTATTTTTCCTTTATAATTGTTCCTTCTCTCACTAGTAAAATCAAAGCTCAAGAGTTTGAACTTTATTCTTGGCAAAGGTGTTGCCCCCTTTCTTATATCATTTCAAAATTAAGGTTCATAAAATCCTTCTTAAACCTTTGTATAAGCATATACACAGCACAGAGAGCCTGAAACGTCTGACACCATCCTCACCATGTATTCACCCAGGGGCTACTTCCCCTGCCCACCTTCCAGGAGGAGAGAATGGCCACACTTCCACAGCCAACCTCCCTCCACTGTCCACACTTCCACCCCTCCCTCCTCACTCTATACACGTCATTCCGTCCTTCTTACCTTTATACTTCAGTTCACACCTCCACATCCGCACATCTCCCTTCACACATCTTCCTGCACACCTCCGTCCTCACCTCCCTCCACACCTCCCTCCACACCTCCATCCACACCTCTGTGCATGCCTCCATCCATACCTCCATCCACACCTCCATCCACACCTCCATCCACACCTCCATCCACACCTCCACACCTCTGTCCACACCTCCATCCATACCTCCACACCTCCATCCATACCTCCACACCTCTGTCCATGCCTCTACACCTCCCTCCACACCTCCCTCCACACCTCCATCCACACCTCTGTGCATGCCTCCATCCATACCTCCATCCACACCTCCATCCACACCTCCATCCACACCTCTGTCCACACCTCCACACCTCCATCCACACCTCCATCCACACTCCCTTCACACCTCCCTTCACACCTCCATCCACACCTCCATCCACACCTCCATCCATACCTCCACACCTCTGTCCAAACCTCCCTTCACACCTCCATCCACACCTCCATCCATACCTCCACACCTCCATCCATACCTCCCTTCACACCTCTATCCACATCTCCATCCATACCTCCACACCTCTGTACACACCTCCCTTCACACCTCTATCCATACCTCCATACCTCTGTATACACCTCTACACCTCCATCCACACTTCCATCCACACCTCCACACCTCCATCCACACCTCCCTTCACACCTCCATCCACATCTCCAAATCTTCCTCCACACCTCCATAGGGCAGCTGCTTGGCACAACAGGTTCTCATGATGTCTCAACTTGTCAGTCTGTGAATCAAAGTCCCAAATATGCCTGCTGAAGCCCTGTCTTCTGTCCTAGTCACTTCCTCTGGGCCTTAGGCCTAGAGCAGAGGCCACTAGAGCCCAGGCCCTGACTGCACCCAGCAACCAGCAGCCTGAGGCCTGGGAGGCCAAGAGTCTGGCAGTGGAATAGGTGACTTGGCTCTCCATTTAACTGCCCCTGGATTTCTGTGTCCTGCTGCCCAGTGACATGAAGATGCTTCTGTCTCGGTGGGACTTTCCCAAAAAGACTTTGGCAGAGGCCCCAAGGCTGGGGATCAGCCTGCTGTGGACTCTTTCAGGTCCCCTGGAGCCCCAGCTACCTCTCTGGTGCTGGTCACATCACACTGCTTTGGAGGAAGAAGCCAAGAGGTTCCTAAAGAAATCAATGAACAATTGTCATTTCCACCACATTAGCTCACATCTCTGCGGCCCCTGGAAGTTTCTGGAAATCTTCTCTAATTGGAACCGTGGAGGCTGTGTATGGGAACCCTTCTTGCATTTCCAGGGCAGGAAACTCAAATCAGTGATAGGGATGCTTTCGGAAGTTTAAAAACAGCAAAATAAGCAAATCAACCATAGAATCCCGTCTTTTACTCCCAGTCTTCAAGCTTTGTCTTTTCCAAAGCCTTTTTCCTGTGTGGACTGGAATCTCATGGTCTCAGCTTGCACTTCCCCCAGCTAAGGGAGCCCAGCACCTCCTCTGCTACTTCCCTGACACCATACTTTTGCTAAGCTGTTCATATCTTTTGCCCATATACTGCTTGGTTTGGAGAATTCATTGCACAATCTTGACACTCTGGCTTGCCTTTTGATTCTCTTGTGTTTAATTTTGATGAAGTTCAGTTTATCAGTTTCTTTTTGTAAGTCAGCCTAACCTAAGGTTACAAAGGTTTTTCTTTAATGTTTTCTCCAGAGTTTTCCAGGTTTACATTTTACATTGTCTGCATTCTGTTTAAGTCTAGCCTTGCACCTGTTCCACATTGCCTAGTTCCGGTAGAAATAAGCAAAGTAAGGAAAATTATTCTTGGCATCAGATGGTCTGAATCTTCCAATTTTGTTCTTTTTCCATGTAGTCTTGGCTACTCTAGTTCCTTTGTCTTTCCATATATGTTTTTGAAGTATCAATGTCTACAAAAACTCCTGCTGGGAGGTTGACTGAGATTGTTAAACCAGTAAGTTAATTTAGGGAGAATTGACACTATAACTGTCCCCTAAGCACAGTGTGTCTCTGTTTATTTAGGTCTTTAGTTACTTTCACAGTGTTTTGTAGTTTTCAGCACACCGATCCTATGTGTTCACGTTAATCATACCTGAGTCTTTACAAGTTTGTCCTTTCTATAAATGGGACTGCTCTGTGGTTTCAATTTTCAGTTGTTCTTGATAGTATATAAATATACAATTTATTTTTCTGGAGTTACCTTGTGTCCTGTGAGTTTACTGAACTCATTAGGAGTTCTTGGAGCTTCTCATAGATTCCATGGGAATTTTTTACATTGATTATTGTGGATTATTGTGTCATCTAAGACTAAGACAATTTTTGTTGTTTGTCATTGTTTATTTTTGTTTTTGTTTTGCAGTACTGGGCATTGAACTCAAGGCCTCTTGCTCTACCACTTGAGCCATGCCCCCAGCCAGAAGCAATTTGATGTCTACTTTTTTGATACACATGCCTTCTTTTCCTGCCTGCTTGCACCTCTGGGACTCCCAGTGCCAA